GGGGCGCGAGCAGCAGCCCCGTGGGATGCCGCTCCCCGTGGGGCGCGAGCAGGTGGGAGAGGATGAATTTCTGGTGCCCCGGTGCCTCTCCCGTGCTTCAAGAGCAGCCCTGTGTACCAAAGCCAATATCGTGTGCGAGTGACACTGGAGCATGTGGCAAAAGCCAGGCATCCTCTTGTGCCCCTTTCCCGCGTGGCTACTTAGGCCAGAAAGCCCCCTCGTTAGCCCGTATAAGCAGCAGTAGCTTTTCCCCTTGTCTTTCCAACAGCAGCTCCTGGCCCAGCCCTGGGGTACAGGCTGCTGACTGCCTGGCTGAGCTGCTCGGAGCTGCTCCGGAATCCCACGCAAGGAAAACTTCTCCCCCCTGGGGCCGCTCATGCAGCGCGGTAGCACACGACTGCCACCCTGCACGACTGGCAGAGGGCCACCACCGCTGCCCTCGTGTCTGCTCCTGGGCCGCTACGCTCGCGTGGCGTTCACAAGGCTTGGCTCGGTAGTTGCCCTGCACAGGACCCTGCTGCTGATCCCAAATCCCAGCTCCCACCCCTAAGCTCCCCTCTAAATCCTGCACCTTCCCAGGACCGATGAGTCCTGGCTCCTGTTCGGTGTTTTACATTCCAGTGAATTTTAAATACTCGTCATCAAGTCCCCCCCAGTGTATCCAGAAGAGAAGCGCTTCATCTAGGCGCTAAGGAAGCCTCAAAGCCTCAGTTCTTCCCTGCCCTGCCAAAAACCTGTAGGCCTGTGAGACTTGCAAGCTAATTATGGTCTCCGAGAGCTGCTGCAGTCCGTGCCTCTGTGCTGCCGGGACTGCGGATGTGGGACTGAGTGACCTCAGAAGTAAGAACCAGAGGGTGTTAAGCCTGCTTAAAAAAAACCAGAAAATTCCGCCTTGACTGAAGGCACAGGGTCTGCTCTAGTTAATAATCCGCTTGCAGCGCAGCCTTTCTGGGCACCCTCTTACTTGTTAGTTTAAAACCTCCCTGAAATATCTCCCGTCTGGGTAGGTAAAACTAGTAACTCTATGTTTCACCTCCAATTCTTAGGCAGGAAAATGGGATTAATCTGACAGTGTCTCGTGTTTTAGACAATCCTGTATCACATCTGTGATTCTCTGCTGCTGAAGGTAGAGCAGAGAGGTGCGCGCTAGCCTGTGACGTGAACCGCCCCCGCGCCCCCCAGCCTGTTCTTGCACCAGGCGCAGCCGGTGTGTAGCTTCTCGGGCAGAATTCGCCGCTGCCAACGCGCTGCCGGTGGTGCCAACGCGCTGCCGGTGGTGCCAACGCGCGCTCTGCTGTCCTCTGTCACTGTTGTTTCTTTAAAGAGAAGATTGGAAAAACATAAAAATCCGTGTGTCGGTCCCCTGGCCCGGCGACGGGGTGCTCCGAGCGCAGCGGAACGTGACGCGCGGGACGGGGAGGGAGAGCCCGGCGCGCGGGTTTGAGGCGCGGCGCTGGCTGGCCCTCGGCAGGAAGGCTTTGCTCTGCCAGCCCTGGCGAGGTGCTGCGGGCGGAGAGGTTCTGGTGCAGCGGA